GGCTTAAGGCTTAAAACTCTATTGTAGATCCGGACTTAACCGTATTGGCTGCGATGCTGTCAGTGCCCAGTATCACAGCCAATACGATGGTAAGATTCTAATCCAGCTAGCAATCCAGCAGGAAAACAAGCATCGTGTGCCGCAGACTTTAGTGATTATTTAATATGATTGGTTTTTGTCTTTAGTTCTTTACTGGAGGTTTGTTCGCGTCGCATGCTCCAACATGCGCCTACTTCGTCCAATCGTAGCTCCTACTCACTCTAACGAGTGCGTTGGAGCATGCGACGCGAACAAACCTTGTGATCTAAGGCCGGTATTCATAGTCAGATCTTATATTCAAGACCGTCTTAAGTACGGTTTTAAGAAGTCACGCACCAATCAGAAGGCTGCATTGATGTAGACGGGCCTTAAGACATTACTTAAGTCCGGATCTACTAATAGCGTTTTAAGCCTTAAGCCATAAGAAATGGGCGAATCACAATCGCTTATTCTTCTCGGATTCGACTGTAATTGGTCAATTTCTTATGGCTTAAGGCTTAAAACACCTATTGTAGATCCGGACTAAGACGGTCTTGAAATAAGACTTGATTATGAATATCGGCCTATGTGTAAGAACCAATCATATTAAAAAAAAAAAAACTAAACGCTAACGGCTAATTGCGGCTAATCGAATTAATTTTCTCTGTTGAAAGCAGCCATTATTTACTTTTTCATCGCTAATTACTGACACGTGCGCATTAACGTCGCAAATAACCACAAATTACATATAAAGGGTCTGTTTTTTGTTGAACTAGTGTATATACTTTTGAAACTTAAAATGAGATAGGTATACGTTTATAATTGGCGAAAGTGAGAGAGTTCTAATACAATCTAGTGCAGGAATGAAAAACAGACCTAAATCTCTTCGCATTGCTTAAAATTCTCAAAAATGTTTGCACTTTAAAATGAGATAGATATATATTTTTAGTATTAAAAAGAGAGAAAGCGAAGATGCTGAGTGCAAACAGTAGTGGGAGTGGCGCACTTGCACAGTTCAATTGCACACCTCACATCGACCTGTTTCTAGTAATTTTTTACTGCTTCGCCAATGAGAGACTAACATGTGGGTCTTATGAATGATTTTTAGAACGATAATTTAATGAAAATTTATCTAACGAGAATTTATTTTAAAAATTTGTTTAATAACAATTGATTTTTAAACTTTATTAATTAAAATTTATTTTTATTTTACAATTTATATGATTGCTTGGCCCGAGCCAAACAATAAATACATTATACATCCTAATACATTAATAACAGCTATAAATAAAAAGACAGCAGGCCAACTGTGTGTCACATGTAGAATGTGTCCGGAAAAATATACACCTAGAAAACCTGAAAGAAAAGAAAATATATTAGCTGTTCATGCGATTGTTTATATTAATTACTTACCAGGTATTGCGCCAACAGTATTCATTAGACCAAATACGCTGCCGGAGTGCTTTGGTGCAAGATCCGAGGGATTAACAGCGATAGCGTTATTGTGGAAGCCTGAGCCACCAATAATTAACGCGAGACAAAGTATAGCATTTTCAAAACTTTCCACTTTCGCTATGGGGAATATGTACATGAATGTTATTTAAAGAATTACTAAGAATTATTATTAAATGCTTTTTTTATCAGATTCTTTTGTTTCGCACAAAAACGCGTCGAATTTAATATTGGAGCTGACAAAGGCTAAGCAAATAATTACTTGATTTAAAAAGGATTTTATTATAGATATTCAAATAAGTAATCCCAAAACTATCAATTTTTAACAAGTTTTTCCAGACTTTTGTTGTATAAGCCTTGATTACCAAGGGTCAAGCTTACCCAAAAATAACAGACTTCCAATTTCGATAACAAAACAAATCGTTTGGATTGTTTTGCGTGTCACGGTAACAGAATAACCAGCTTTAATTATCTCTTCTGACAGAGCTTTCCCCAAGAATGTACAAGGTAACATCGATAGCCATGGCACCATATTTACAATCCAGCCCTGTTAATTAAAGTTTATTCAACATGATATAACAAGAAAAAAATTACTATGTTGTTATTACAAATTACTTATTATTTAGCTTTTTCTTAGCTATGAATATGAAATATTATTTACTACCTTTGTTATAGAACACTTCTTATATCTTTTCTTTTCATATATTATACTTTTTGTAGACTTTCTAAGCAACAATACTGAATAAAAATTAGATAATAATATTACCCTGATTTCAGGAAATGTGTCATGGAAATATGTGGGCATCCATGAAAGTAGCACAAAGAAACAGTTATTTTGGCAAGCATGTCCAATAACACAGGACCTAAAAAATCATAAAAATCAATTAACAATCACAAACATAAATGAGAAAGTTAGTCTATAAAACATATTATATTTATCTTATAAATCTTATGATGATAATCTTGTATAATTTTCACAATTGAATGATTCAGAGCATTTGTATAAATTAAAGTATATATGCGTAATTCAAGCTTTCATTATTTTGGGTAAAATCATAAGTCTTCGAAATCAACAAAGTTAAAAAAATATAATCGGCAAAGAGATTGCGCTATCTAAAATTCTAAAAATTTTCCACATTTCCAAGAACTGCGATTCCGAGAATTTGTGATTTAAAATGCGAAAATCAAAAACGTTAAATCAATAGAGTTTTAGAAAAGTACAATCTAATTGCAATGGTTAACTGATTATAAAATCTCTCTTTGTACCTCTAGCCTATACAAATATAAAACAGGTTTAGAAAATATTGAAGCCCATGCATTATAATTACCAGAAAGGAGGTTGTGACAGAAGTTTGGACCAAGGCAAAGTGTAGTCAGTGGTAGACTTGATAGAAGCTGTTTTTTCCTTAAAAGGCAGAGTGTGGTAGCTTAATAAAGCTGTCCATGCCAAACTCATGCCCCCTACATAAGTAAATTAGTAAGCACACCACAAACATTTCTCATTTCTGCTTGAAAATAAAATTAACAAAGAGATGTATTCAACTATTAAATTATTCTTACATGACGTGTCTCAAAAACTATCATCATTTATCTGTGGATTCTTCAATTAATTTGACATCGATTTACATAAGCTACATTGTACCTAACGCTCGAAAGACAGTCATCCAGTTATAATTTTCCAGAAGATACGAGCCTAAAGACCCAGTGAGTAGAGTGCCCAGAGCAGATCCTGATGTTAATAAGCTAAAAAAGGAGGCCCTTTCTGCCTCGTGCAAGCGTTGACTGATCAAGCTAATCATGCTAGGAAAATGCATTCCTGTAAGTGACAAGTGTCGTATTATCCTCCATCGGCAGCAGTACAGCTGTGTACACACTTGAAAATTACCTTGGAATGCTCCGTTTATCATTCTCACTGCTGCAACAAGCAAAACGGATGTCCCATCTCCGGAAAAGAATTCTATAATTTCCGGCATGAAGAAGGTTGTTGCCGACCAACCAAGAGCAGATATCCATAATACTCTCTGACCACCGATTTTGTCGCTAATATAGCCACTGGCTACTTGCGTCAATGTATATCCCCAGAAGAAGCTCGACAGTATTATGCCTGAGTCCGACTTGGACCAATTCTTCTCCTGACTGACAACAGGTATCAACAGAGGGACAGATGTACGTGTAGCATATATCAGACATGTACCACATAGCAACGACAGGAACCATTTCTGCCTCTCCCTCCTAAAAGAGACTTTTTATAATCCAATCTTGTCAATGCTTGTAATAGCATTTGTAAAGATAATTCTGATCAAATTTTGATTATTTTAATTGACAAAATTTAAACCATATTTTAATTACAATTTGTTATGTCTAATCTAATCTGCTCATCTAAAAATTAAACTTTCAAAATTTAATAACTTTACGTGTATATAAAATAAATACAAGTTGCTTGATAAGTTAATTATTAATTAAGTTAAAGTTAATTTAATAAGAGCTTTGATCGAACTTTGATTAATGCAATTGATAGAATTGCTTAAAGGAAATTTGTTTATTACAATTTATTATCTCTAATCTGTTCTTTTATGAATTAAATTACAAAAACTTAATAATTATGTACTCATTGACAAAATAAGTACAGGCCAGCTGTTTAATAATATGTTAATCACTGATTAAGTAAAATCGGAGTTTAGTTAAAGTCGTAAATAATTAATGGATCAGCAACTCCTTTGTTTAGAAAATCGGTGATCGCCTATGAATCGACGTGTCCCGCCGATTATACCTCGACCAGGATGAAGTGGTCCTGTCATCAAACGGAGTATCCAGCGATATCTGTAACTGCATTGTTTACGAATTCGTTTAGCTTGTAGACGTCAATTTCCGTGTTAGAATCTCGGCTCTAGTTAATATCCCGTCAGAGCACGTAATTTTCACGCCCATATTTAGTGTTGTTAATACGCAGTTGATCTGTCAAGTTCCACCGTGCATATCAGTGCACGTCACGCTAACCTTCGCCTCCGTGTCCTCCGCGCGTCTTCATGTCTTCGTTTTGATTTGGATCGGAACTCTCGGACTCTCGGGTCTCTCAGAAGCTTTCAACGAAGACCTACGGACTACGGGAGCGCTGCAGAGTTCGGCATATACAACATGTACCATATACAAACATCTTAAACGAACGAACTGCGGTTCGAAATTCAATCCTAACGAAGGATGTTATAAACACTCATTTATTTCAGCCACATAAAATACACATTAAAATATAAAATATAAAGAAAAAAATATAAAATGTAAGTAAATAAATGCGTACATCTCGAGAGATCGCATAAGAATTGCGATGGGAAAATATTAAGTATAAAGAAAAAAATATAACATATAAGTAAATAAATGCGTACATCTCGAGAGATCGAGAGATCGCATAAGAAATGCGATGAGAACTACGCATAATTATATAGAGGTTGATAATTAAAGGACGTATTGATTTTGTGCGTATCGCTTTTGCGCAAATCTGTCTGGACTTTGACATTTTATTTTGATAAGAGAGGAGGATAAGAGAGGAGAGAAAATAGATACAGAAACACTGGCGCACATGTATACAATACAATAAGATGTGATTTAATAATGACATCGGTTCTGAATTTGAATAAACATCTATCTATCCTTTCGAAAATTGCTATATGCAAAAGCTAGATATATTTATTTATTTATTTCGAATTGGATTGTGCAAGTCATGATACGCATGAAGTGTTTAACTGCACCTAAGAACTGCTTTGAAGAACTTTGATGGAAATGACAGAGGTAAATTAAATATACAGGGGATATAGACAAAGTAATGTAAGCACTTGGGAAATATATTATTTCTTTACTATTTGTTTTAATAAAAGGTTAGTCCGTCATTTATCCACTCTTAATATACATTTTACTCTTGAAATAGTTACTCTCTGCAGAACATAAATTAATAGTAAAAAAACTAAATAATAATTTTGCACTCAATAATATAAATTAATACATATATCTATTTACTTCAGCCACTTAAAGTCAAGAAAGAGATTTGGGTTAGTTACAAATAAATTTATCCATCCATCCCTTGACTGTACTTCATCGTTATAATTAATTAGGTCTAGCCTTAAACCTTATCTCTCTAACTATACTTTTTTCACTCAACAATAGAAATATAATACATAATGTAACAGATAACAGTTACATTGTTGAATAAAAAATTATAACATTAATGTAATGTTATTATTAATTTGTGTTTTGCAGATCAATGCTTAGATACTTATCAATAGAATTTTATATAACTTTTTTCATTCTATTTTCCAAAATTGCTGTCTATTCTTCAAAATTTCAACACTTTTCTAGCCAATACAGTCGCCTGATTTAAATATTATTTGTAATTTTGAAGATGAATGAAAAATATTATTTCCTTCAATATATTTTTAAAACAATTAAAAGATGTTTTGTTAGAAAAATGATATAATATTGCACTGCAGCAATTGTTACACTATTCGAGCATACATGACTTTATTTCAATGAGGATAGAATCTATATTAAAGACAAATAATAGGAAACCTTGTTATTAATGAAACAAATAGTAGGATTGAGAAGTAACTCGTTACTTTAACAAAGTTATAGTCAAAGTTTCTTTTTTTAATAACTATAACTGTGTTCCTTTCTTTTTCATCCATAACTGTAACTTAGTTACACTTTTTGTAACTGTAATTTAATAGTTACTTTTTATAAATTTATTCAACATATTGACTGATCAAAATGAAGTACTCAGTAAATAATCTATGATTATTTCTTAGGATTGGAATACACCTTTATTCCTAATAATTATTCTCCCTAAATGTCTGTAAAAATTTAAAATTAAACTAAAAGTCTTTTAGTATGAATGCATTTTAATATTAATCCCATAATTCTGATTCCAACATAAATATATGTATATATTAATTTGTTATAAATAAAATAGCAAATGATTGAATGTTTAACAAAATATTTTAGTATTATCAGAAATGTAAAATTCTTGTATTTAAAATAAAAAAGTGCAAAAAAATTACAAAAAATAATTAAAAAGTACAAAAATACTTTTCAGAATTAACTTGTAATAATAACAAATTACTTTTCGAGAAAAAAACTAACTAGTTTACTTATTTTTACAAAATAACTTTCATAATCCCGACAAGTAGATAGTATATTTTTCAGGTGTTTACATTATTTTGTCCATTCTCTATACAGTCATGTTGTTCTGTAGTGTTAATGCTGCTCAGTGTTACCTTTCTTTACTACCTTATATTTCTGCTAATTTGAGATGAGTAAACATAGACTGTTTTATTTCAGACACAAAACGACAGTATATACGATTCAATAATCATGTATTGTAAGTATACCTGCATCATGCAACACACTTCACTAGTTTGTCACATTACATAGTCTATCATTTTGAAAGAGGAATAAAGGATTAATGTTTAATTCCAGACGAAGAACGGGCTAAAAAATGCCAGGCGTTTTTACAACATCCCAACGTTCGTAAATTTATCCTCAGATTTAAGGAGCAGTTAGCCCACAATCCATTTCTGCAGGTGGCTACCTTCATTGCATTAGCGTCGCTTCTTGCACCTATCTTCTTGTTTATTATATTTGGTATCGTCAGTGCTGTATTCGTATTTATTGGTTTTATGATGGTTCAAGGTAAGCAATGCTACATTTCTTATTCTTGATCACAGAACTGCTGTTGCTGGACACTAAACAAGTACATATTGTTTTTAGGGACAGTATTGGCTATTGGCGCGAGTATTTTAAGCTGTGTACTTTTCTGCATCATAAGTACTATTATAATGGTAGGATTATTTATCCTTTGTGTTCATTACACATTGTATTATACAAACCGTGTGTTTAATCTTTTGGTCTCTAAAACCTAATAACTGTACATAAAGGTGATTGTATAATAAAAATTTTTAATAAAAGAATTTAAAAAAAAATAAAAAGATGAAAATTGAAGTGTTTATTATTACAGGTTTGATACAAATATGCAAAACCATATCTAAATACATATAGGATAAGGTAATATAATTTTGAACACGATACAATTCTGAACAAAATAAAAGTTTAATTCAATTTTTAAAATTCAAGTTTAATTTTTTTCTTTGTTCTACTCTTCAGAATTCTCCACACAATGAGAGGATTATTAAACCTGTAGCTCAAAAATTCGATTCAAATTTTATTTTGTTCAGAATTATATCATGTAAGAAATTGTACCACCTTACCCTTGATCAATATATATCTTCATACATGTGTCCGACTTGGAGGAGTACAGAAGGAGTAGTAATAGAAAAAGAGAAATGCTGGTCAATAATGTATGCGGATGATGTGATTCTACTGGCAAATAGAGAAGCTGATATGAAAGAGATATTGAAGAGATTTGAAAGGTTTATACAAAGAAAAGGACTGAAACTGAGCCCGGAAAAATAAAAAATAATGGTATTCGAGAAAGGAAGAGATAGGACAAAAAGAGAGAGTGGAAAAAGAGGAAATAAAAGAAGTTAAAGGAATCAAGTATCTGGGATACACACTACAGAAAAATGCAGGGATAGAGAAACATATAAAAGAAATGATAAAGAAGGCGACATTGGCAATCAAGAGAACGTAGAGCATTTGTGTGGGGATGGCAGGAAGAGAATAGACTAGACGGTAAAAAGAAAGTATGTAAAATGGATTCTAAAACTGGACTGGAGAACACCGAATTATATATTGACAGAAGAAACGAAGATAAATGAAATCAAAATTAAAGCAATCAGAAGAGCAGTAAAGTATAAAGAAAAAATAAGGAAGTCAAAGAAAAAGTTGATACAAGAATGTGTAAAGGAATTGGAAAAGTAGTAGAGGAAAAGAACAAGGTAAATGGGAAAAGAAAAGAAGAGAAGCGTTGAAAAGAGCAGGAATGAGTAAGGAATAAGAAGGATAAGAGGGGCAGGAGATCAAGGAATAGCAGGAGATTTCATGAAAAGAATAGAAAGAAGAGGAAAAGAAGAAAGACAAGTAAAGATAAATGAGTCAAGGTATAATAGCAACTATAAGAACATAAGGTCGGAAAGGCTACCAAAATACTTGGAAGACAAAAAGAGGATGAAAGATAGAAGTTTAATAGCTAGATTCAGATGTGGGAATGAGACAAAAGGAGGCCAGTACTGGAGAAAGGATGAAGAAAAAAGATGTAGAATTTGCTAGGCTGCAGAAGAAAATATGAGCCATATACTCAAGGAGTGCAAGGAGACAAAGAGTGAGATGCAGATGGAAGAATTCATAGGAACAGAAAGTAAAGGGATAGAGATAATGAAGAGGATAGATAAGGCAAGAATGGAAGCGGAGAAGAGGGAAAAAGCAAACAAGCATGAGAACTTATCCTACATAGTTACACCAAGTAGAGTAGAAAGCAAAGTATGTTTAAGTATAATTTTAAAGGCAATTCCAAGCGATGTTTATATACAATCAGAAAATAACAAAAGCTACAAACAGTGATATGTAAGATGCTACAGATAGGAAAAGTTAGATATATGCGATATATATTTTGTTTTTTTAGAATGAATATCTTATGTTTTGTATTATATTTTATATGTATATGTATTTAGAGACCTTGTAAATATTCATATGTATATGTTTATTAAGTTAAAAACAATGTGGAAAAATGTAGACTGGAAGCCATCCAAAGCCGCAAGGTAAGGATTAAAAAATAAATAAAATAAATAATATATCTTCATATATTATCTATTTCTAAAAGTAATCAAGTATCAAAATTATATCATCTTATTTAGGTATATTTATACTAGTTTAGTGGAAGATTCTCATTTCTGACTTCAGTTTCGCTCGTAGACAAATAGATTTCATGCCACAGTGAGTCGGTCAACTTTTTATCAATCTCTTGAGTATCATAACAGAAGTGGTGAATGTAGTCGCGTCTGTTTGAAACATCTGTGTCAAGGATTAAGGATATGCATATCTGCTACTTGTTGGCAAAAAAAGTAGCTAGTGTGAAATACAAAATCGTACTTGATATATTTTATATACTGGCTAATTTCATGTATATAAATATTTAGAAAAAGGATACAGCCTTGAATTCTGTGCTTTAAATATATAGCTTCAAAATCCCACTGTATCCTTGTTAAGTCCTTATACAAGTTCAACTTTTTCCTATAAAACAAACAAAATTATGACAATATCAATAAAAAAGATTGCATTAATATATAATGATGATACATGCCTTCCTTGCTCCAGCAATTGTTGATCTTGCAAATTTGGTTTAATAGTCTTTAAATTAGTACGTTTTCCTTCTAACTGTTTGATTTCTTGTAAGAGTTTCTTGTTCTCTGCTTCCAGCTCTTCCTAAAAAATATTCTGCAATAATAAACATCCACTTTCTGGAAAAAATAAAAGTATATTACACTCACTAAATAATTCTTCTCTTCTGATAACTTATTATTCTTGCTCTCTAAAGTTTGACTTTCTGTATGCAATGTCTCTTTCATAGCAGCCAAGTTTGATGTTAATTCCTTAATCTTAGTTTCATCCTCTAAAAATATATAGCAATTATATACAAAAGGAAATATAATAAACACAATGTATTCTACAATTTCAGAACTTCAAGCAATACAATAACTTATTGGCTTATTTCCTAGCAAATTAAATTCCATATACTCAATAATAAAATTTACCATTGAATCGTTGATTTTGATCTTTTTTAATTTCATCTAGTTTTTCTACTTTGGACAGTAACAATTCTTTGAGCGTCGACATATCCGTGTTTACGAATTTCGTTTTCAACGATTCTATCCAATGATCCTCCATAATTTGATTTAATATTAAAACTATACTAAAGTTAATTAATCTCACAACTATCCTGTCAAAACACAAAATGTTTTGTACGTTTGTTAAACTTTACACGTTACAAATTTTGAATCATCTGTAACAGGATTGACAAACTTCTCAGATGATAGGTCTGTTCCTAAAGACGCCTTTTCATGCTTACGCGAGATCGACGCTTAAGGCCCGTCTACAATACACGGAGTAAGAAGTAAGAGTAAGAAATTGACCAATCACAGTCGATTATTCTTCTCACATTCGACTGTGATTGGTCAATTTCTTACTCTTACTTCTTACTCCGTGTATTGTAGA